GCTAGCACAAATTTTCATGATCATACCTTGCATGATCTGTCAGTTTAGTACCAGAGGTCACAAACATTAAATAGAACCAAATTCGGAGAAGAAATGGTTTAATTGTATGGAGATATTTTGTAAGGCCCCTTCCATGAGGAAGTGACCTGAAAACTGGGAGTTTTCAACGTTAAACACACAGAGAAGTGGCAGGCATCAGACTTCACAAAACCGAGCTGGGAGGAGAAGAGAGCAGAGAAAGTTTGATATCAACTATAGAACTTAAGTTAGCATTTTAAATAATGAGGAAAATTAAAGGATGGCTAATAAACTAGTAATACTATATGAAACTGAGTTTTCAAAGGTCGCATATCTCTAAAACATGTAGAATTCATGGAAATGAATAAAACAGATGACCATTTTTCAGTAGAAAATTAAATCCTAATTAAAGATGACTCCAAAGGAAGAAATACAGGTAGCTGAAAAAAAACCAGTGTGAGCAACAGAATGAGAACCAATTTTACTGTAGTGAGCTTAGGAATAAATAATAGTGCAAGCCAGCACGGGTGGTCAGTGGGGCTGCCTCCTGTCCTGCACTGTTGAGTGGGGTATGGAGCCGGTTTTCTGCAGCTCAGGAGTGCGTGCATCAGCAATTGGACAGAATGTTTTAGAATCTGAATCCCATTCTAGGAATGGGCAGGAGAGACTGATCAGAGAGGCACAGATAACAATCAGGAACAACGTGTTTACAGTCAAAAGTGACCAGTGCCTGGTAGCTAGAGATTGGTCAGGTCAGCTATGATGCACCTGGGTAACTGTGCACTGTGCTTTTCTGAAAAACAACCAAGGACAGTCCCCTGATGAAGAGGTCACACAGACCTCATACTCAGCCAAGCACTCAGGCAGGGCTCTTAAACTTTCTGTGTCTCTGTCTCTGTCTCTCTGTCTCTCTCTTGTTTGTCTCTCTCTCGGTGTGTTTTTGTTTTTGTTTTTGTTTTGTTTTGTTTTTTTGTTTTTTTTGAGGCAGTCTCCTCCTGTAGCCCCAGCTGGCCTGGAACTTGCTATGTAGATCAGGCTGGCCTTGATCTCACAGAGATCTGCCTGCCTTGGCGTCCTGAATGATGGGATTAAAGGCATGGGCCACCACACAGGCCAGGCCCTTCTCATAGTTATAAAAAAATTGTACCACATGTGTGCAATACCCACAGAGGCCAGAAGAGGGTGTCATGTCACCTGGAATTGGATTTAGAGATGATTGTGAGCAGCTTTGTGTGTGCTGGTGAACCAAAACTAGGTCTTCTGCAAGAGCAGCCAGTGCTCTTAACTACTGAGCCATCTCTCCAGTTCATCCTTTTATTTTCATTGTTAATGTGGGTGATGGTAGCACTGTGCTACGTGATAAGCAGACCCAAGGAGATCATGGTCAAAGTGGCTTCACCTCTACAAGGTGAGCTCCAGATCAGGAAGTTCTTTGTACAAACAAAGGCTGCTGCTTGGGCAGCCAGCCACACTCTAGTCTGAGAACAGGAAGAGCAAGTGTGGCCCCATTCTCAGGGCTGCTTGCTTAGACATACACTGCCAGAAGACTGTTTCTCCACTGGGCCTAGTCAGGGTCACAGTGCTGCACATTCCAAATGCATTTTTCCAATTACATGATGAATCTATTGTTTAGAATGTGTTAGCCCAACACTCCATGACAACACAAAAAAGAAGTAGCAGCAATCACGTATTTAGATGCTGACTCCCATATATAAGGAAACATATATCATGTGTGAATATGTGTATACGTGTGTATGTGTGTAATTGCATGTGTGCATGTGTGTACAGGTATGTGTATGTGTGTGAGTCTGTGTATATGCACGTGTGTATATGTGTAATTGCAAGTGTACACATGCGTTTATGTGTGTATGTGTTCTCTGTAGGTGTATGTATGTATGCTATATGTTATATATATGTATGTGCATGTGTGTATGTCTGAATGTGTATGTCTATATATGTGTACATGTGTGTATATTATGAGTGCATGTGCATATGTGTGCATTTGTCTAATTGCATATGTGCCTTGTGTATGTCTTATATGTGTGAGTGTATATTTGCATGTGTATGTAATTATATGTGTGCATGTGTGTATCTGTATGTGTGTATTGCCTACATGCTTGTGCGTGCATGAATATGTATGCGTATATGTATATTTGTGCATGTGTGCATGTGCTTGCATGTTTGTGTGTGTGTATTTGTGAAACCACTCCTATGTATCATCATTCACTGTAGAGAACAGGTGATTTCCGTATTCTGATAACTTTCCATGAGATGCATGTTCCTGAGCATGCTCTATTAGTTCAGTCCAGAACACAAATGTATCTATTTTCCCCTCCAGCCCCCCAGAGAAGCACACATGGGGTAATCTACGATATCATGTTAATAAACTGTTTCAGATGCGGGAACCTGGTATCTTCCAGCCAGTTAGGACAAGTAGTTAGAGTCCAAATTTTACTTCAGAGAAGATTCTAGATTCTGAGGAAGTATACTGCACAGAACCTGGAGATTTGCTGACAATTCAGAAGTTCATTGTTAGTGAAATCAAGGTAAAGGCTCTTTGCTCCTCATATTTTGTGATGAATGTTTGCAGTTCTGCAAAATATCTGGGCGTATTCAATTATGGTTTGCTGTTGTATCTGTTTTGATATTACTTGGGACTAAATTTAGCAGCTTCCATAAATCTCACTATCAAGCAGTTTTTTGACTTCTCTGACAAGGAACTGGGACTGTTCTTTCTAGTAGATTCCTTCAGAGCCAAGCCTGATATGACTGGCTAGACTTGGCTGAGGCATTCCAAATGTTGGGATGCTGTTCTTGCTGAGTGACTACCGCATCTCCTGTTTCTGCCCAGGGACCTTGATATCATTAGTCAGGTGCTCACCCACTTATAGCAGCTGTTCTGGATTCAGTTTTATACATTTAGTTTTATATTAAAAATGAAAATCTCTTGAAAATCAAATATTTTTGCAAATATCATAGAGTAACAAGTAATCATTCAGATAAAGTAGAATAGCTTTAGAAGCAGGTCAAAGATCACCTATCTGGAATGGGGCTTCTTAAACTTTTCCTGTCATGAACACTACATGTAAGACATTTTTATGTGCCCCTAGGTATTATGTAGGCATATAAAATAAGTACACAAATCAAATGCTTATATAAATAGTAATTTTAAAGCAATTATTTTTATACATTAGCATTACCGTTTATTAAAGACAAAAACAAACTGCATACTGAGATGCTTGTGTTTGTTTGTCTAAGACAATGCAATTCAAAGATGTTAATTTGATACATACTGAAGAATGACAGTAAAAACATTGAAAGCCATCTTTTGGAAATGAAGTGATTGTAATTTTGTAAGAGCAGAGAACTTTCAAGTACAGTAAGAACACAGCAGTTCGCAGCACATGTTAGTCTAAACCTGAGATGGATATGTTGGGCAGCTACTACATGACATAATGCCATGCCCACATCTTGTCACCACAGTGGCCAACCCAGAACCTGCCCTTTCTCCTTTTCTCACTGGGCTATTCATAAAGTTGAGCCTCCAAACAGAGCCTGTTATACTGATTGTCATAGGCTGAGTCTCCTGAGTCACTGCCACCCTTGCTGTTCTTAACTCAGCTGACTGGCTCACTCTTTGCCTCTCCTTTCCCCAGCCCATGGTGTCTGTGTTCATTTGTTTGTAAATAGCTCTGGGAGGAAGTAGGAATTACTTGGAAAAGTCTACACTATTAGTGTCAAAAGGAGAATCATGAAAAATCATCAAGTAGTGAACCATTTCTACTTGATATCCCTGCATGCACTGTCCATGTACCAGGCATCTATAGGGTTTGAGTGATGTCCCTTCCAGTACTGCATTTGGGTTTTCTCTTGGTTCAGTTTCTGGGGAATGCTCAGTGAATTGAAAGGACACTGATCCCATAAATTAGGCTTATATGGCATTGCTGCAAATATGCATGGCCACTTTGGCAGAGCTTGATTCTGGACCACCCCAGAAAGAGGTTTGGCAAAACAGCCTTCAGTCCACCCCTTAATTAGAGATAAACTGTTTCCACTGTTACTAAGGCAGAACCAGTGATGGATTCTACCTGTTATAATGCTTTACACACAGCTAGCACTTGCTGATCTGTCTGTGGATACTGAGTTTCTACCTCTTTCCATGTCTGTGTCCAAAATGTTATTGGAACTGCTTGCTCAGGTGGTTTTGCCCATCTATATCTCTGTGAGATTCTGATGACTTCCAACCTGAAGGGACACTGGGGGAATGGAGCACACAGCTGTACCACTTAACCTAAAATGGTGTTAGCCTGTTCAAACGACTCTTGAACTTTTTTAGTGCAATTTCACAGGTATCCCTCCTTATTCAATATGTAGGGGACAGGCAATCTGTATAATTTAGGGAATAATAACCCATTAATACCAAAGGGCCCCTAGAAAAGTCACCAAGAGATACCCTAAGTCCCAAGAAATGTCACCAATACACTGGTAGCCCAAGATTACCTTAAGCTCTTTTCCTGTTTCTGTGACTGCCTTGAATCTTCCCATCCAGCACCAGAGACAGTCCCTGAATATGAGGGCTAGTCAGTAGACCTTCTGCCTGTGGGCAGGAAGAGGCAAACTGTTAGTTATTTGAATTTGCATTTTTGTGAACTCAGATCGCCATGGAATGGAGCTTTGGGAGGGAGTGGGAATTACTTAGAAAAGTCTCCATTATGAGTGTCATAAGGAGATTCATGAAAAATTGTGATTTCTTGACAATTCATATTTCTTTCAAAAGTGCTAATAAGGCCCACTTATTAAACATGGCCACTTTGGTAGAGCTTGAGTCTATTTAAATGAAAATAATCATGTTTTATTTAACACTATCAAGTTACAGAGCCAACATTCTGTTAGGTAGTCTTGTTTAAAATATTGAACAAATGATATTGGTGTGAATATTGTTTTTTTCACAAAGGTCAAATAACAAAATATCCATGTTGCAGCTGCACATGGCGTGTGCAAGTGGCTACAGGGAGGTGGCGTTGCTTATCCTGGAACATGGTGGAGACCTCAACATCACTGATGACCAGCGCTGCACACCCCTGCATTTGGCAGCCAAGTATGGCCAGGTGAGAGGATTTTCTCTATTATTTCTGCAAAATCATTTAACAATTAATAGATAACTTTATATTTAATTTTGATGATTTCCAATTTGTATGCTAATCATTACATAATTTGACTCTTAATGGTATCATCTTATCATACAAATATTTAAATCAGAAAAAAAATCTTTATTTTTCTAAGAGCACATGAAAGTGAACCTTCCTCAGAGCCCTGTGTATGACAGTTGAACTCACTGGAGAAATAATTAAAAAAAAAAAACTATAAGCATTCTTCATAGAATGGCTAGTGCTTCCTTCAGAAAAGGTGGGGTTGTTCAGGATGAGGGGGCAAGGGACAATAATGAGGGTAAATATAATCAAAATGCATTATAAAAATGGATGAAATTATTAAAAATTCTAGTTCTAAAATGTGAATTTTGTTGAAGTCTTACTAGTCATAATATAAAAAAATAAGTTTTTCATACATGGTTATTTAAGCTAAATTGCATACTTTGAAACAATTTGGGGTAAAAAGTCACATATTTATGCTTATTTAAATGTCTTAGAAACCAACTAGTTTGCAAAATATTGGCCATAAAATATGAGTAATGCAGTTCTTTAAATACATAAAAGCAATCAACTTCTAGCCTTAAAGAAAAAGGTATTGCTCTGGAAGGTTGTTAAACAAGGTCATTGTATTCCTTTTCAACATTTCTTACAAAAAAATGATTCATTTATTCAATAAGCATAGTAAGCTCACTGGCTTTTGAAGTTACTAGACTTTGGAGCAGCAGGGACTTATGTTGGTAACTAGATTATAAACTGATCAGTCAGAGGCTGGAGAGATGGCTCAGCAGTAAAGAGTACTGGCTACTCTTGCAGAAGACCCAGGTTTGATTCCCAGCACCCACATGGTGGCTAACACCAGTCCAGGGAAATCTGACACCCTCTCTGACCTCCGTGAGCATTGCACAACACAAGTACACTTGCCTACATGCAGGCAATACACTCATACACATAAAATAATAGTAACTAAAATATTTTTTAAAAAATATGATCACTTTAGCAAAAATGAATGGAGCCATCCAAAGACTTTGATGGTGCCTCATCCTGAATCCAACTTCTGCAGCCCCAAGTCTGTACATCCTGCACCTGAGCACCAAAAACTAGAAACAAATTATCGTCCATAAGAATTTTATTTGCAAGATAAATGGCCAAAAACATCACTTGCATGTCCACTGAAAATGAACAAATTGTTGTATAATTGTCCGATATGGGTCCATGTGACCAAGAAACTAAATGAAACTTAGTAGCTCCTGACAACTTAGATGATTTTCAGAGTGTACTGGGAAGCCATGGAGGCAAGGACAGGAACATACAGTAGGAGTTCAGTCCATAAGTGTCACAAGCTGATCAAGCAGTATGCACTTAGGAAGATTTCTGTCTGTATTTACTAAACACGTGAAGAGAGATGAGTGATGTATTCTTGATAGTGACCAGTGCTGGGAAATTGGGTCAGGTTATTTTGGGGAGAAATGCACAAAAAATACATTTAATTATATGCCTTTAAAAGTTAGCTAGGCGATAGTGGCAGCATGAACAAGACCTATGCAAACTCAAAGCAGACAAAAAAACCAACATAGAACTAGGCAAATGGGTAAGAAGCCCCAACTTTAGCTAAGGAACGATTGTCAGCTGATTGCTGCTGGGTAAGGAAGAGTTGGTCTTCTTTAAAGCAGTGACATTAAATAGGCTGGCAAGGCTCCAGTGGATGAACCCACACTGAGGGACATTTGGGGACACAAACTTGACTATCATGTATGACAGAATGCATGAAATCTGGCAGGGGAGCACTGTGGAGAGGTGCAGATAGGGGAGGGGTTCTAAATATGATCAAGATGTATTGTGTGAAATGCACAAAAATTCAATAACTTCTTTAAGTTGGCCAAGCCAACTTGATGGCTCAATGGATAAAAGTGCTTGCTGTGCTACCCTGACAACCTTAGTTCACATGGTGTATGGGGAGAACAGACTCCTAAATATTGTCTTTTGAGCACCCCAGGCATGCTATGGTATACACAAACACACACACACACACACACAAATAATCAATAAATAAATAAATAAATAAATAAATAAATAAATAAATAAATAAATAAAGGCGGTGGAGAGACGGCTCAGTGGTTAAGAGGACCAGGTTCAGTTCCCAGGACCTACATGATGGATAACGACTGTCTGTAATTCCAGTTCCAGGGGATCTGATACCCTTTTCTGGCCTCTGTGGGACATTATACACATGGGTGAACTTACATACTTGCCAGCAACACACATACACAAAATATAATCAATAAATCAAACAAGTGTAAATAAATAAAAGTTGGATACATTGGCATTTATTTAATGAATGTGATACAATGTTATGTGGATACATAGATACTTTGTACATATTTGGGATATTATGTCTTACTTTGCTTAACTGCTAACATAAATCAAAACTAAAGCAAAATGGACAATAGTATATGATATCTCAAAAAGTCATAAAAACTTGAAACATATAAAATATCTTCTTGAGACCCTCAGAAATTAAACCTCGTTGGATATTTTTTTCTGAATGTATAGATTGCTGAATAGTGTGAATATCTGACATTTTCTAAAATAACCTGGAGGTAATAAGAAATGTCTACCAAGAATGCTAGCCTTTATTCTCCTGGACTATTAACTGCCCCTCAAAAGCAGAAACTGTGTGTTATTTACTGATGAGTCCTCAATACACTGGGTGTTTACTGATGGGTCCTTGCTATTCTGGATATTTATTCATGAGTCCTCAGTACCCTGGGCATTTACTTATGAGTCCTCAGTACCCTAGGTATTTACTGATGGGTCCTCAGTACCCTGGGTCTTTACTGGTGGGTTCTTGGTTTCCCCAGGTACTTACTGATGGGACCCAGTACCCTGGGTACATATTGATGGGTTCTCAGTATCCTTGGTATTTAGTGGTGTGTTCTTGATGCCCTAGGCATTTACTGATGGGTTCTCAGTACCTGGATATTTCTAATGGGTCTTCAGTACCCTGGGTATATGCTGATGGGTTCTTGGTACCCAAGGTATTTATTTATGGGTCCTCAATATCCTGAGTATTTACTGATGGGTCCTTAGAACCCCAGGTATTTACTGATGAGTTCTCAGGACCCTGGGTATTTATTGATGGGTTCCCAGTACCCCAGGTATTTATTGATGGGTTCCCAGTACCTCAGATATTTACTCATGAGTCCTTCATACCCTGAGCATTTACTGATGAGTCCTAGTTACCCTGGGTATTTACTGATGTGTTATCGGTACCCTGGATATTTACTGGTGAGTTCTTAGTACTTTGGACATTTATTGATGGGTCTACAGAATCTGGCATGATGGTTCTGATTGCTCTTATCTTATTCTGCAGACAAACCTGGTGAAACTCCTTTTGATGCATCAGGCAAACCCTAACATTGTGAACTGCAATGAAGAGAAGCCATCAGGTGAGTTGCATCATGTAGGAGCCACCTCTTCCTCTCCCATGGACACAATTTATCCAACAGTAGCACAGCGTGCAGTGCAGGTGGGCCTCTAAACACCACTGTTCCAGCAGGAACCACCATCTGCCCTGCATTCTGGGAAGGCAACCAGCAGGGGAAACCAGAGTTGCTGCCCCACCTAGTTTCAGTAGCTTTTACCACAGGTACAGAAGCATGCTGTGTCACTCCAAAATCTCTTTTGATTGGTATTTTGCTTGTGACCCTTTTTGCCAAACATTTATTTCTTCCTTAGTGAGTTTTAAAATAGTAATAGTATTTTTCTGCATAGATATTTATATTTAATGAGACAGAAGCTAACAGTTTCATGCTAACTGAATGTGACTTATTTTATGACTTATTTTTATGTCTGTGATCCTTTGTGCCACTAACATTTCTTCTATTTAGTGCTGCAGTAGTTATGTAGATTTTTTTAAAGTAACTGAAGTTTCCAATATTGTTTAATTTCCAATTTAATTTCACCAAATTCAAAGGAGAATTCTAAATAACAGAAAAGTCTGATGTAAGATATAAAAAAGTTTAAAGGTGGCAACCAATCTTAAAAACTAATTAAATCTATTTATTTTTCTTGTCCCTGGACTCCTACTAACTTAAAAGCCCTCACACTTGAGATTTCCTATCTAAACACTGGTAGAAGTGAGTTTAAACTGGGATGAGGACCTGTCTCTCTTTCTTGCTTTATTAGCATTAAGTATAATTTTTTAATGTTTATAACTTTATCTTGTCTGCTAAAATAAATTGAAGATCTGACAAATGGAAGAACGAATTGCTTAGTAGTCTCAAACTTTAGTATAAGGCTAATAACAATAATCTAGGGGGCTGGAGAGATGGCTCAGTGGTTAATAGCACTCACTGCTCTTGCATAAGACTCTGGTTCAATTCCCAGCACCCATATGGCGGCTACCTACCATCTGTAACTCCAGTTTCAAAGGATCAGACACCTTCTGACTTCTTCAGGCATTGCATGACACAGATGCACTTACAAGAATGTAGGCAATACACATAAAATAAAATAATAAATAAAAAGATAAATAATCAGCATTAACTAAAATTGTATGTTGAATTGCAAGTATGAAAATGGCAGCTGGCATAGTGGTATATGTCTGTGATCCTAGCACTTGGGAGGCTAATGCAGGAGGATTGCTAAAAGTTCAATACCCTCTTGGGGTACATAGCACCAGGTCACTTAAGGCTACATAGTGAGACCCTGTCTCCAAACACATCAAACAAACAGAAATGTTTAAAAAAGAATAATTCTTAAATGAATAGATTGATTCTCTCTGTGTCTGCTCCACTGGTTCTATAAGATTTCACTGTCAAATGCCCACACCTGGCTTATTTCCTAGAAAAGGGAGATTGGACTGACTCTTGGTCTCATGAATGCCCAGTAGTATTTTTTCATTTTAGGTCTAGTGTCATGTATCCACAACCAATTCCCAATGACAGCTCTGCCTCTTAGGCCCCCAGCGAGTTAGCATTCTTCTGACTGAGTCATAGCCCTAGAAACCTCAGCACAGGACACAAGGACTTAGAAAGCCTTCTCCATGTTGACCCTGCAGAGTCCATCTTTCTTGTTCATAGCACTTGACGATGCAACATGGCACAGGGCTCATCAGACAACCTCAATAAATGTGTTTTCATTCAATAAAGATCTGCCTTAAATAAAGATGCTCCCTTGAAATGCAAGGAACAAATCTATAATGTATGAAGGGTGCCAACTAAATGCACTTGAACAGTCTGGAAGAAAATGAGCCAGGTAACAAGTCATCTAGAGCTATAGAGCCGAGGACCTAGTATTCCTGTGGTGGCTGAGTGAGTTATCAAGTCTTTTCATTTTTCTGTATCTTGAACTTGGAATGGACACAGAAAACTGTCTGGGGAAACAAGAGTTTGAGGAATAGCTTTTAAGTGGGATAGAAACACAGTCTCCCTGAGTGATGAAGCCCAGATCTCTTCTCCCTTTCCATACCCTATTGCT